GGTCTCACTCTTGCTTAGACTGGTCTCAAACTGGAGCTCAATGGCTTGGCACCCATAGCACAGTGGTTACAATGCCAGCCACATACACTGAGGCTGGCGGGTTCGAACCCGGCCCTGGCCTGTTAAACAACAATGACAACTGCAACAAAAAATAGCCAGGCATTGTGTCAGGTACCTGTAGTCCCAGCTATTTGGGAGGCTGAGGCAAGAGAATCACTTAAGCCCAAAAGTTTGAGGTTGCTGTGAGCTGTCATGCCACAGTACTCTACCAAGGATGACAAAGTGAGACTCTGTCTCTAAAAAAACAAAAACTAAAACAAAAACAAAAAACCCCTGAGCTCAAGCAGTCCATCCACCTTGGCCTCCCAAAGTGCTGGGATTATAGGTGTCTTCCTTGGTTTGTTAAAGGAAATAAACTCACTGACGATTTTCTATTTTTGTTTTAGGGAAAAATTCTATCATCTGTGCAATCTTCTCTATGCAAACTTACACCAGAGGGAGGATCATCCTTGACTTTTGAAGACCAAAGACTAAACAGAAATTTAAAATGTTCTTCAGGAAAGAAGGGAGCTTGACTTACACTTTGGTAATAATTTGTTTCCTGATGCTAAGGCTGTCCACCAGTCAGGAGTGCCTCACTGAGAGTCTAGAAGATGTTATCATTGACATCCAGTCATCTCTTTCTAAGGGGATCAGAGGCAATGAGCCTGTACATAGATTAACTCAAGAAGATTGCATTAATTCTTGCTGTTCTACAAAAAACATCTCAGGTGAGTAATAACTCTTTGGCAATCTTTTATTCCAGTTTCGTGACTTAAGTAGCTGGTAGATGTGGCTGGATAGTTTATACCAGTGATTTTCCATGGAGTGGACATTCTGGGTGACAAAATCACTGGAGAATTTTTCTACAAGTATTCCCTCCTCTCTCTGAACCTGAGTCGAAGTTGTTGATGAGTGTGTGTATTGAGGTGAATTGGGTAGAAAACATGGTTGAGAACCACTGGTGTTATATCATAACTGGCATCTAGAATATTGAAGAAATTTTTGTTTAAATTCTTACCTGCCCTTATTATGGACTATTGGGAAATGGTGTGATATTAGAAAGAACATGTAAACAGAGAAAGAGAGTTGAGATGAAAAATAAAATGTTAAACCTATCCTATGGGAAAATCAGCATTAGATTTTTAAGGAGAATCACAAAACCTCCACTTCTTCTCCCTCCCTGGAGGGGTAGCATAGGGGACATAAGGAAGCCACAGACCACTAGGTCATTGAAGCTTCCAGAACCTTAAAGGAACAGAGAAGTGTTCAACCCATTCTCATGATACAGAAGGAAACTGCACCCTAAAGGTTAGAACCATGTCTTTGCATATTTCAAGCTTTAAATCTGCAAACTCAAAAGAAAGGCGCAAGCTGGCACCTGTGGCTCAAAAGGGTAGGGCGCCAGTCCCATATGCTGGAGGTGGCAGGTTCAAACCCAGCCCTGGCCAAAAACTGCAAAAAAAAAAAAAAAAAAAAGGTGCAGTATGTATTTGAGTAAAACTGTGGTTGGTTTTAGTTTTGCTAGTGACCCTATGCTAATTTTTTAAATGAAAAAAAACTAAATATATCGAGCACCTAACACCCTGCTAAGGGCTAAAAATATAATAATGAATAAGATGAACTATGCCTTGGCTCAGTGGCTAGGATACCAGCCACATACACCTGGGCTGGAGGGTTCAAACCTGGGCCAGGGCCTGCCAAACATCAATGACAATTATAACAAAAAAATAGCTGGGCGTTGTGGTAGGCACTTGTAATCCCAGCTACTTGGGAGGCTGAGGCAAGAGAATCGCTTAAGCCCAAGAGTTTGAGGTTGCTGTAAGCTGTGACGCCACGGCACTCTACCGAGGGCAAAATAGTAAAACTCTGTCTCAAAAAAAATGAACTAGGCCTTGCCATCAAGGAGCCTACAAGGCTAGTAAGCTCTGAACATGGACTCCTAGTTGACTTATGTTAGCTAACTAAACCAGATGTTCACTCTTAGATCTTTTTTTTTTTTCAAGACAGAGTCTCACTATGTCGCCCTTGATAGAGTGCCATGGCCTCACAGCTTACAGCAACCTCAAACTCTTGGGCTTAAGCGATTCTCTTGCCTCAGCCTCCCAAGTAGCTGGAAACACAGGTGCCCGCCACAACACCCAGCTATTTTTGTTGTTGTTGTTGTTGTTGCAGTTGTCATTGTTGTTTAGCTAGCCCGGGCTGGGTTTGAACTGCCAGCCTCAGTGCATGTGGCTAGTGTGGCCAGCATGTAACCACTGTGCTATGGGCTCCCAGCCACTCTTAGATCATTACTTCCTTTTCTTTCTATAATGGTGTGGTATAATAATATGTAGTGCAACTGTATATTAATAATATATTCACATATAGGTATATTTGGTCTTTGTCCCCAGTTTCTGGCATGGAGCTCCTAAAACCTGGGAATTTCCTGAGAGATGGGAGCGTGTCTTTTCTTATTGCTAATAATAAACCCCTTTCAACCATAACTGAGTTTGTACTAATGAGGCTTCTCTTGATGGGTGCTGAATTTCAGAAAGTCTTTTTTTGAGACAGAGTCTCATTCTGTTGCCAAGACTGGAGGGCAGTGGCACAATCATAGTTCTTTATAGCCAAGGACTCCTGGGCTCAACCAATCCTCTCATCTCAGCCTCCGGACTAGATTGGGACTACAGGTGCATACCACCATACCTAGCTAATTATAGTGACAGGGTCTTGCTATGTTGACAACAATCCTTCTGCCTCAGCCTCCCAAAGTGTGAACTTACAGGTGTGGGCTACTGTGCCTGGCCTTAATACCAAGCCTTGATTAGAAACTTGGAACTTTTTTTTTTTTTTGAGGCAGAGCCTCAAGCTCTCCCCCTAGGTAGAGTGCTGTGTATCACAGCTCACAGCAACCTCCAACTCCTGGGTTCAAGCGAGTCTCCTGCCTCAGCCTCCCAAGTAGCTGGGACTACAGGCACAATGCCTGGCTATTTTTTGGTTGCAGCTGTCATTGTGGTTTGTTGGGCCCGGGCTGGATTTGAACCCGCCACCTTAGGTGTATGTGGCTGGTGCCTTAGCCACTTGAGCCACAGGTGCCGAGCTGAAACTTGGAACTTTTAACCCTCTTCCCTGATCTCAGAGGAGGGACTGGAGATTGAGTTCAATCACAATGGCCTGTGACTTAATCAATAATGCTTATATAATGAAACCTCCATCAAACCCCTAAATTATGGGGTGTGGGGAGCTTCTAAGTTGGTAAGGAGAGTGGTGCATCCTGGTTCCACAGGAACTGAGTACTTGAGACCCTGTGTGCCTCTGCATCTGGCTGATCATTTATAACCTTTATAATAAATTGTAATAGAAAATATAGCAATTTTGCTTTGTTCTTTTAGTTGTTCTAGCAAATTATCAAATCTGAGAAGTGGGCTTTGGGGATACCCTGAGTCTATAGCCAAGTCAGATATAAAAATGCGGGTAACAGGGAGACCCGATACTTGAAGCTAGCTTCTGAAGTGAAGGCAGTCTTGTGGGTCCAAGCCCTTTAACCTGTTGAATCTGATGCTGATTCCAGGTAGTGTCAGTACTGAATTGAATTGTAGGATATCCAGTTATTGTTGGAGAATTGGGAAACTGGTGTAGAAAAGACACCATGTACTCAGTGTCAGGATAAAAAATTCCTTGAGTGGTCTCAAATTGAGCAGTATGCTTTTGGATACTGTTTATGGAAGTAACTTATGAGAATTACAGAGATTTCATTTAAGTTTCTAGTTTTTCTTTAAATGTTGACATCAACATTTATGTGAAATAGAAACATCACCTGCAAACAGGACTGAGTGCTATAAATCCAGGTATTTCCTGGCAATGCTGAATGCATTGCCTCAATATCTTTTTTTTTTTTTTGAGACAGAGCCTCAAGCTGTCCCCCTGGGTAGAGTGCCGTGGCATTACAGCTCACAGCAACCTCCAACTCCTGGGCTCAAGCGAGTCTCCTGCCTCAGCCTCCCAAGTAGCTGGGACCACAGGCGCCTGCCACAACGCCTGGCTATTTTTTGGTTGCAGCCATCATTGTTGTTTGGCAGGTCCGGGCTGGATTCGAACCTGCCACCTTAGGTGTACGTGGCTGGCGCCTTAGCCGGTTGAGCTACAGGCGCCGAGCCCATTGCCTCAATTTCAAGAAGTGCCTGCATTTCTCCTCAATTTCAAGAAGTGAGGGTTTGCTGCTTTATTCTACAACTAAAGTCTTGTTACTGCTTTACTATAAGCAGAGGTACCTGTGAATCTCAATTACTGGGTCTCAAGCTTTTTCCTTACTGCTTCAACGTTGTTTTTTTTTTAGCTGTTTAGGGTTCAGAAGGCACTTTGATAATTTGATAACAGCCATGGGCTCAAAAATACACATAAACACACAAAGCACAAACTTTTGCATACAATTTGGGGCTATGGACTTTCCCCTTTATCTAAGTGCCAGAGAGAATGATATCATAGGACACAGTGTCCCATGCCTGAATTCCCGCCTACTTGGGAGGTTAGGTGGAAGGACCACTTGACAGCCTGGACAACATAGTGAGACCTTGTCTCCAACCAAGAAAGAAAGAGAGAGAGAAAGGAAAGAAAGAAAGAAAAGAAAAGAAAAGAAAAGAGAGAAAGAAAGGAAAGAAGAAAGAAAGAGAGAGGGCAGTGCCTATGGCATATCGAGGGGAACGGGTTTGAATGCAGCCCTGGCCAAGCCGCAATAAAAAAATAGCCAGGCATTGTGGTGGGCACCTGTAGTCCCAGCTACTTGGGAGGCAGAAGCAAGAGAATTGCCTAAGCCCAGGAGTTGGAGGTTGCTGTGAGCTATGATGCCCTGGTACTCTACCGAGGGCAATAAAGTGAGACTTTGTCTCAAAAAAAAAAAAAAGAAAGAAAAAGAATGGCTCTTTTATTGTTTGGGTAGTAGAAATGTGACACGAGGCTTGGTGCCTGTAGCACAGTGGTTA